CCTTTTTTTTTTGTTGTTCTCCTGGGTACGCGCTACAATCTTGTTGTCTGAAAACTGTGAAATTGGTATCTCAGGACTATCATTCAACTATTTTCCGAAAATCAGACGGGTCGTTATACAACACTTAGGTCGGCTTTGTTGACATTTTTGAAAATGCGCTGAGATCAGACGCTACGCGCAATATGTCTGAAAATCGGATTTCTGGGTACGGGCTCATAATCTATCGATTCCGTGCGGTTTCAGCCGGGACACTATGAGACAAAAATGTTAGTCGTCATATCTCATACTATATGCCATACACGTATTTCGCAACATCACTGTTCTATTGCTGATACATAGTCAATATATATTCTTTTACCATATAACAATACACACTAGCTGTAAGTTTCAACACACTTCTAAACTTGAAGGTGTATATATTCCGAATACAGGTGTTTGAATAAAACTAAATCATTTATTTTGACAACCCTTTCAGTATCTGCTTCTCACAAAGTACAGTTCCATATTGTGGTTCCTAGATTTGTAGACTGTTGCTTAATTATCTAAATTCTCATTATTATGCATGTACTCAATAGCCTTGACGCCCTGTGTCTAAGTAAAGTCTCTTTAACCAGGGTAAAATATTGATCCGATTTACTAATGATGATTCACAAACAATGTTTAGGTATGGCAATGCGGCGGCATATTGGAAATTATCCCTTGTTCGCATGTAGGTCACGTTTTCAGAGACAAATCGCCCTACACCTTCCCTGGAGGTGTATCGAAAATTGTTCTTCATAATGCTGCTCGAGTAGCTGAAGTCTGGATGGACGAATGGAGAGACTTTTATTACGCCATGAACCCAGGTTTGATATTTTTTATCTTAGGAGGAGACTTCTTTAAAGGAGAATGTTTAGAGAAGCCGCTGGTAACATGTTAACAGCCTCATTAACTAAAATGGAGAGTTGGCGATAGTAACTAACACTATTTAACATTTTCTTTTACAGGATTAGATTTTTCAAAACTACTTAATTCTCTGCGATGCCTGCAGTAGGCATTGATTTTGATTCTTCTGAGATGAAATCTCCTAATTAAACTTCACTACAGTTGCATATCATTTATTTATACTGGGTGTTTTTTGAATTGCAGCTATACATAAAATAGGAAATTTGCCAAAGTCATTGTTACTCTCAGTGATTCTGACCTGCTTGGGTTAGGCTGAAAGGAAAACGTGAAAACTCAATATCTTCTATAATATAGTTTTGGCAAAAATGTTTTCCTTCATTTCGTTTCGATTTTTCCTCTTCTGTTACCCAATTAATTTTTCGCTCCAATTTCGGAAACCCTTAGATTAGATTAGATTAGATTTAGAATGGGGCCTTCGGGCTATCTGCCTCCACACCGCGACCTTTTCAGATCTATTGTGTCTGCCCTCAAAATCGATTAGAGTTCTTCGGCTAGCCCCGTCTTCTCTATGAGACTCCATAGGCTAGCTTTCAGATCCCCTGTGTATCTCTGGGCTTCTGGTTTTTCCTCACCCAGCGTAAGGAACCTTAGTCTTGACAAGCCCTCACAGTGGCAAAGTATGTGTACTGCTGTTTCCTCCTCTTCCTGACAGAACCTGCACAGCAGTTCTTCAGTCAGACCTATCGTACTCATGTGTTTGTTGAGCCTACAATGCCCTGTGAGAAGTCCCACTAGTATTCTAGTTGAACTTCGTTTCTGGCTTAGTAGATATTCTGTGAATGTTGGCGATGGTTTTTTAATAAACTCTTTTGCCTGTCTCATTCCTGGCGATTTGTTCCACCATTCTTGAGATTTGGTTTGCATCCATGATTTGATACTAGTCTTTTGTATAGCTTTCGCAATACCACAGAAGGGTTCTGGGCCATTCAGAGCTTTGTTTGCTCGGAAACCCTTATACATAGCCTATTAAAAGTATGGACTTGCTCTTAGTGGCTAGAGAGAGAAGTTGAAGAGAAGGATGGAATAGTTTAAGACAATGTCAGAATTCAAATACAGAATTGAGGTTAAAAAATGTCACCAAAAATTAAACCAAAGAATTTCTGTTTATACAAGTTTTATATAATAATATGGAAGGATTTTAAAGAATGTCTAGTGAACCAAAGTGGCTGCAAATAGTGATACCATGAGTGCCGTTTGAGACTATTATCAGTAGGTAATTGGTTCAAGAACAAGCTTTCTGAATGAAACATGTTTGTAGGTTCTCAATAAGAATTTGCATAGGTATATCTAACAGTGAAAGAAGTTGAGAGTAGCAAGAAAATACATGGTGGAAATAACTACCTGGAATTTTAGTTGAAATTTCAATTTTTAAGAATTAAACTATTTTTGTATACACTTTAATGGTGATAAATATTCAAAAATTTACATTTTTCAAAGAACATGAAGACAAAATTGTGAGTTGAAATATTATGAACCAACCACAGTAAGCTTGAAAAGATTTAGGATAACAATATATTCTCAATTACGTACCTGTCTTCACTGAAAGTACAAACTCTAAAACAATTTTGAAATTAGCATAGCCAATTCAATTTTTATATACCTATACCTACCTAATCCAGTTGCGAAGAGTTGTAGAAGCTGTTGAAAGAATACTACTATTATATTATTATTCAACAGGAATAAAACCTTTTTTTTATCCTCAATTGTTGTAAAAATGAAGTCAACTACTAGACAGCTCCAGGTGTGTAATATCACTTCAGCATTGCATGGGAATATGGTGAACAGTGTCTTTGAAAAGGAGCTTTATAATAATCATGAGCAGAAGTTGTAAAAATAATTGAGATATATTGCAAAATATCTCAACTAGGGGGGGGGGAAATTCCATGAGATTATCATTACCTTTCCACTCGCCTTTGCATCAGATTCATTTCATAATTCATACATCATTGGAGAATATTCTTCAGGTAGAGGTTCAACTTTCAATAATTCTATTCTTGTTCGGGATTTAGATATGATATCTAATCAAAGAAGGAATTGTTATGAATTCAGTCTCTAATTGTGGGTATATTATAGTATAGATTATAGAATGCACTCGCCTTCATGTATGTTTCTCAAAGCTCCTCCCTGTGTGATATGGAAAATCAAATTTTTATAGTATTGTATCGTTCTTAAAGACTTCAGTATCTAAAGGATTGGTATAAAAAATCTGATCTTTGAAATGATTGCCAAAAATTGAGGTATTCAAAGGATATTGTAATTTTGCCTGTGAACAGAAAGGACCTAAACTGATTTTTCTTGAAATTTTCATCATTTGAGAATCTGAAATCATGAAAAATTATGATCAATATCATCAAATATATTCAACATTTCACGTATGCTTCTGAATGGTTACCTACTCCTGATATTTCTAATTCATTTTATGTCATTTCTCAAATCTCAATTTTGAGTGCTATATGAACATAAATGGGTCATTCTCCAAAACGAGTATTTTCGGTATTTGTAAATTCGTAGAGAAAAAAATTTAGTCATCATGTTCTGTTGTCATGTCAGAATAATAACGTTTTGCCACAGATCACATATCGGATCAGTTGGGGTATCTGTGGTTTTGCCTTAAAGTACTCTCTCCTTGTCTGAACATGTTGGAGTCAATGTTCTCTCTCAAAAGGTCATTCCATACTTTTAATACGTCTATGACCTTAAAGTGTCTAAAGGAATATACCTAATATTTTTCCGTTATTGAATATTGTGATTGCATACGGAGGGTTTAATAACTGCCAAGAGGCTTTTGGTCAACTTGTGACTGAGTATATACTCGGTGGATCAGAGAATTCATTATAATACCTATTATTTCTACGCGCGTATCCTGATGACATTTTCAGGCGGGCTATCCTATTCTTTCTTTTTTTTCAGATCATAATAATAAAACACGAATACACTGTATTTTTCGAATTAACTACAACTGAAGTTGTTTTAATCAAAGACTATTCAATATGCCTATTATTTTTTTGCTGTGCGAAATTCTCACTCACTAGTGGCAACCTTGAGGTAAGGTTTTGTGTGAGGTTTTTGTGAAATATTGAAGAGATAAAAAACGGTATACAGCGTTAAATGCTGCTTTTAGAATTTTGATGGAGGCATTAATCTTGCTATTCTCCTCTTGGGCCAATTTTCCTGCTTAGAATTATCGATATCAAATAAGATTACCGCTTTGAAACATTTATTTTTGAAACATAATTTTATGGTATTACATCTTCCAACAGAAACTTCCTGACTTATTTGTGATAGAGCTAATCAGTTTCTGATGTTCTAGTTTGATCAACTCCACCAAGTAAACTTCATACATATTCCCTCAGTCCCCATGTGACAAAAATTGTATCCCAATAGTAATGATCATAGATTATCAACTAAAAACCCAATTTTCATATTCATATTCAAGGACGAATATCCCCGAAAGGGAACAACTAAGGAGAAACATTCTAATTGAAATGTTATAGTATAACGTCCACAAATGTATTGACCTTATACTCATGGGATATAAATATTTATATTAGAATCAACAATGCTTTGCCCAGCTGCTCTTCAAACTAGATTTTTGAACTGAACCTGGCCTTTCTGAGCAGTTTGAGTCATTATAAGTAATAAAGGTACTATTGTTTCAGTTCAAAAACTCGAAGTACTTTCCTGTGGAAGATTAATTTTATTTTATTACAAAAATGGTCTGTCGAGAAAGTTGATTATGAATATCTGGCTAATATCACTGAAAATATAAACTATTTTCATTATTCACCCGTTAAAGAAATGTCATCCTCTTAAAACAAATAATATATGGACTGATGTTTCATGAAAATGTTACGTTTAATTTTGAACACTTAGTATGTTTCCGAACTATTGATCTCAAGTTGGAGAGCGAATCTAGGTGATACGCTGAAATCCGCTTCATTTTAATACCAGACACAGGGTGCACACATAAGAATCCCCTTTAAGATCATTCAGATCCCAGACTAATTTGGTCGCATGTGTTATGTTATTTTTTTTCACCATGACGCCTCTGTTAGATATGGATGTGTGGTGGGCAGCTGGAGATAGCGACTTGCTCTCACGTGGGACATGTATTTCGCAAGTCCACGCCGTACTCCTTTCCAGGTGGTACAAGTAGGATCGTCAACCATAATAATGCCCGGCTGGCCGAGGTCTGGTTGGACCAGTGGAAGGAATTCTACTATAACATTAACCCAGGTTTTAACTTCCGTCTTAACAGCATGAATTGCATGTCTTGGCGCTTTTTTCATGGGTTTGAGTACTGATTTGTGATGGATATTGACAATTGTATATGTAGAGGTGTCATATACTTTGAGAGTAGCATGTCTTTTTATCTCATGGAGCGCACGAAAGAAAATTCCTATAATGTTCGAAGAACATCGTGCGTATCTAGGGAGGATAAGGATAGGAGGTAGGTGTTGAAATTTTTTCTGAACCTTTGGAGGTTATCAAGTTCTTGGCACTGTAAGAAATCTGTCATGAATCGGTCTCGTGCACATTCGAAAGATGACCGACCCTGGATGTAAAACAACTTCACTTTTCTTATTTGTTTGCAAAGATTTGAAATAGTTTTTCACCAACATTATTGCATACGAATCGTGATTCTTTGGCAATTTATTTATTCAAGCATCACATTGTGCTGTTGCAATGCAGCGAGAAACGAAGAAATTAGACTTCCTAGGTAAATTTTGATATAAAAGTACTTAGTCACTCACATACTTTCAGCTTCAAATTTTTTTCATTTTTGTCTAGAATTCCTTCTGCAATAGAAGCTTGTGAAGTTGAAAGAAAGAAGAGCTTGGATTCGTCTAATCAAACGGCAGGACTGGTCTGACATGCTGACGAAATAATATGGTCGTGTGTGTTGTAGACATTTTCACTCTATTAGCTCCTAATGCAGAAAGACCACTTAAAGAGAAATGACAAAATTTTATAATGAAAACTATAGGAGTGACTGTACTTTTATATCACAATTTACCTGAAAGATATTATTCTTTCGTCACGCTGCATTTTTTGTGCATTGTATAACAGCACAATGTGATGGCATGGTTGAATAACTGAATGTCCCATGAAACACGATTCGTATGCTGACATAATTGTGGAAAACTATTTCAACCCGTTGTGAACTAATTATAAATTTCGAATTAGGTATACTGATTTGAAGGTAGGTAAACACTCAAACACTGCACCGCCTACTTGAAATCGAATTGATTAGTCGTACAACTCATTACATAAAATAAACAAACCAAACAAATAATATCGGGAATCCACAGCCCAAGACCAAAAATCACTGCGAAAGTTGAGACAAAAACCGATTGCACCAAAAACGAAAAAGCGCATGCGCATATAAGCTAGTATCACGCAATGACCAACGAAACGTAATACGTGAAGTAAAGTGGTGTCTTTTCATAGACATAAATGGGGGGGGGGGATATATCCCCCCGTAGGTACGCCACTGGTCTGGATAATGTTTCACTTGCTCTTGTATGGAATCTCTCCAGATTCAACCAATAGTGAAACGTGATGATTTGTTCTTTATTTTTCACAAGGTAGTTTCCTACTACGAATTGTCAATATCTTATTTTCTGTGCATGTTATCTATGTAGTACGTTTTTGTGCTTTTGATCGTTGTACAAATTATATAGCAGCATGGGATATGTTAAGGGGGAATTTCCACTTTATTCAAATCATAATTATACAACAATTGTTATGTATTCGAACTAGTCGATTAACGATTAACCACTGAATAATTTTAGAAATTTTGTTGATTTTGTTTGATGTTATACAATCTGTCGCATTCACAAAAAAGGCGACCCCATATTTTTGATATTTTAAGATTCTCAACTGATATATGAACTTCAAATCCTTTCTACTATGACTGTGAAAAAGTGGATTGTCGATATTTTGCATCGCTCTGAAGATTCTCATTTTTTAATTTTATGTTTTTACACAGATAGAGAGTATTTGATAATTGTCAAATATTGCTGTCATTCGCACTTCAAAATTAACCCTCACCTGTTTTTTACAATAAGTCCCGTGAATGATTGACAATTTATTTTGATGACAAATTTCATTATTGAATAATTGTGATTATTATTGGTTAATCTCTTAGCTAGCTAGTACACACATGGCACATACAGAGAAGTGCACAAAAAACGGCCAAGACTGTAACTTTTGAATTATTCGAGATAGGGTTATGAAAATTGGTGGGCAGCTAGTATACCAAATTGCTCATTAATTGACGAAACAATTTGTGTTTTATCACTTCCGGTTTTTTTTTTTTTTTTTTTTTTTTTTTTTTTATCGCTTGGAGCGCACGAAAGGGAATCCCTATAATGCTTAAAGAACATCGTGCGTTCCTAGGGAGGATAGGGACAAGAGGTAGGTATTGGAATTTTTTTTGAACTTTTGGAGATTATATGTTGTTGGGAATACTGGAAACGACCCCAACTTTTGATTTTTAAAGGGGACACCCTGTATTGTATTCCATAAACGGTTAGGAATTGTCATAACGAATTCATCGATACCGGGTTTGATAGATTTATTTCAAACGATTACGCAGATATTCACGTTCTAAGTTTTTATATGCTCAATGAATGTGACGGAGAAAGAAGTTTTGATATTGCGAAGTCACACCCATTGAGCATATGGAAACTTTGAGCGCAAATATCTTTGTAATCGTTTGAAATAATCCTATCAAACCCGGTATCGTTGAATTCGCCATGATAATCCCTAACCGATTATAGAATACAGGGTGTCCCATTTAAAAATCAAAAGTTGGGGTCGTTTCCGGTGAAACTGGAAGCAATAGAAGAAAAATTGTTTCATCGATTAATGAGCAATTTGGTATACTTGCTACCCACCAATTTTCAAAACCCTTACTAGAATAATACAAAAGTTACAATCCTGGCCGTTTTTTGTGCACTTCTCTGTATATACAAGTTCAAATATTGAGAATGTTCCTTGTATATTACAAATATATCAAACAATGAATTGAAATAATAGTCATTTGTGCTCATTTCCGAATTCTTGAATTTCGGGATGAGTATGATTCTCCAACTAGCCAATTTGTTTTGCTCAAGTCAAAATTCCTTGTTCCAGGTTATTATTAAGTTAGAAATATTCCTATTGCTCGCAATCACCAAGAGATCCAAATTCTTTTTTTTTCACCTCTATTGTCACTAGTTATCACTGTAAAAATTACACGTTTGTGATGTGGTACGTGTGCACCTTGTTCTACGTTTGTTTTGTATTGTTAATTGTTTGTTATTTCATTTATACTTGATTAACTGTCTTTTCTATTTCCTAGGTGCACGAAATGTCCCAGTAGGTGACATTTCATCTAGAACAGGGCTGAGAGAGAAATTGAAATGTAAGAGTTTCAGATGGTACTTAGAACATGTATATCCGGAATCTCAAATGCCTTTAGAATACTATTATCTTGGAGATGTAAGTGAATTTATATCTACCCATTTCATTCAATTGGACTGTGTGAAGGTTTTGAACCAATAGACAACATTTTTATACAGGGTGACATTTTGAAAACGTCCCACCCTCAATATCTTCCTTCCAGTGAATAATATGAGAAATCGAAAAATTATAAAGTTTTAGCCCTCTTAGTTCAACCCCCGAGGAGGGGTAGATGATACCTATAAAATACTCATCTGTATTTTATCAATAATTTTCGTTTTTACTTGATTGACTTTTATTCTGACAAGTTTTAGATTTACAAAAAGTGCTTATCAACTATTTTCTGTAGACCGAGAAACATCATGTATAAAGGATGTTTGAAAATTAACAAAATACAATAATTACTTGATAACAATACCCTTGGAATCTCAAATGGGAAGGGGGGTCAAATGGCACATCATTTTGAAGGGCGTTCAATTCTCTTTCCAACAGTACCCTAGTTTATCATTTTCTGTTGAGCAGTTTCCGAAAAATGCCGTGTCACTTAAGAAACTTCCCCCCTTAATATCTCTCTTAATATACACTCAATATACACATTATTTTGAAAGGCTTTCAAGTATCTTTTCAACAATACCCTAGTTGTTCATTCTTCGATGGGTAGTTTCCGAAAAAAACTATTCTAAACTTACAGAAATGATTAGAACATGCCTGCACTGAGATGCATAGTTTTCAAGTAAGCAATCTATTGAAAAATATGGTGAAACCTTAGCCGTGGCACTTGATATCTCCAAAGCATTCGATCGAGTCTGGCACCATGGACTCCTCGCCAAGTTTCCATCTTATGGCTTGCCTCCCCAGTTATGTTCTCTGCTAGCTAGTTTTCTCTCAAACAGGTCTCTCCATGTAGTGGTCGACGGAGTTTCATCTGACTCTCTTACCATAAATGCTGGTGTTCCGCAAGGATCAATTCTAGCACCAACACTATTTCTACTCCATATCAACGATTCGTTGGAAGCAACTTCATGTCCAGTACACAGCTCCGCGGATGATAGTACCCTCCATACCGCCTTCTCTTCCAGGGCTCCAATACCAGCCAGGCAAATCAGAGACGAACGATGGAGAAATGTTGACAACATAAATATGGACTTGGCAACAACAATTCTCGAATGGGTTGATTTCAATGCAAACAAAACACAAGCCTTTTCTCTAGAAAAGCCGATCTCACTGTGCCAAACATAAGCATGTCAGGACTAACCATACCTTTGACGACATCCATTTCGATGCTTGGTATTACTATCAGCAATAACCTTTCTTGGGAAAATCACGTGAGATCAATTGCGAAAAGTGTATCCCAAAACTTGGTTTTCTATTTCGGGCCAGGAGCTATTTCACTTCCAGTCAGCTGCAGAACCTCTAAGAATCCTCTTCAATGCGTGTATTGAGCAAGGAGTTTTTCCAGATAAGTTCAAAATTGCACGAATTCTTCCTATTTTCAAAAAAGGAAATGCGAATGAAATCGGAAATTATCGTCCGATATCGATAATTCCTATTTTTGGAAAAATATTTGAAATCTTATTGAAAACTCGCCTTTATAGTTACTACATTAAACATAATCTATTCAATCCAAATCAGTTTGGATTCATAAAATCGACATCAACTATACATGCACTGAAGAAAGTTATTGACACTATAATCGATGGCTTTGAAAAAGGAGAGCACACTGTGGCTGCTCTTTGTGACCTGACCAAGGCGTTTGATTGTGTATCTCATTCAATTCTTGTCAGTAAACTTGAAGTATATGGTATAAGAGGGGTAGCTCTTGCTCTATTTAAATCATATCTATCAAATAGACAGCAATGTGTTGCACTTGATTCGAATAATGTTTCTGAGTTGGAACTCATCAAATGTGGAGTACCACAGGGATCTGTTTTGGGCCCTCTCCTTTTTATAATTTATATCAATGACCTCTTCACTTACATGTCTCCCTATGGCTGTATTGCTTTTGCTGATGACACCACCCTTACCACGTCTGGTAAGGATAGACAAATGCTTTTAAATGAAATTAATCTGGCCCAAGGAAAAGCGGCATCATGGTTTAAAAGAAACAATTTGATGTTGAATTCGAATAAAACTCAACAAATCTATTTTTCTCCAATTGTCTCTAACAAGAACTCAGTCAAATTGTTGGGCATTTTTCTAGATGACACACTGAACTGGTCAGTTCACATAGAGCAGCTTAGTAACAAAATCTCCAAATATATATTCCTTCTCCGAAAACTGAAGAATATTATTGGCGTTCAGGCACTGCTATCAGCATATTATGCATTCTTCCACTCCCAAATTTCATATGGAACAATTTTATGGGGCAATAGCACAAAAGCCATTGAAATATTTATTCTTCAAAAGAAAGCAATAAGAATTATCGCTGGTGCTGGCTACGCTGATTCATGTAAACCATTCTTTAAATCCCTAAAAATCATGACGCTACCATCTATTTACATATATCAACTTTTGTTGGATATTCATAAAAATAAAGAAGATTACGGAAAAAATTCTGACTTTCACGATTATCCCACCAGGAGCTGTCAATTGATCAGGCCAAACAGATTCAGATTGCATAAATCTAGCAAAAATTCTCTGGATGTGAATCTCTACAATGCACTCCCTGTATGTGTAAAAAATCTTAATTCATACAACTTTAAAAAACATTTGAAAGATTTCTTAATCTCGAATGCCCTCTACTCCATAGATGAATATATGGCTGCCCTGAGGTCTGGTGCTCAATAATGATACTATCTATAGTGTATTTTTTTTTATTAAATATAGGCAATTTACATATATGTATATTTTTTAAATATTGTTTTTTTTTAATATGTCTGTATTTGTGCAACTTTTTCAATATGTTTCTAATACTTAAGATTTTTATCTGTACCTCATTTTTTTCAAAGCTTGACTTGTCTTATTTGTATCACATGTACACCTAAAAGATCAATAAATTATCTATCTATCTATCTATCTATCTATCTATCTATCTATCTATCTATCTATCTATCTATCTATCTATGATCTATGAGGCACAGATACGACCTGTCCTGGAATACTGTTCCCATATTTGGAGTGCAGCACCCAAACATACCCTGAAACTGTTGGACTCTGTCCAAAAAAGGGCAATTCGTCTCGTGGGTGATGCCTCGCTCACAAACTCACTCACTTCTCTGGAACACCGTAGAAAAGTTGGCGATCTGGCTCTATTTTATAGATATTTCCATGGACGATGCTATTCTGAAATATCAACAATTGTACCTCCCTTGGCAGTCCCCGCGAGATTAACCCGTCGAGTTGAGGCCTCGCACCCCTTCGTGGTCACTTTGGAGAGCTGCAGAACATCTCTTTCCAAAGATTCGTTCATCCAACGAACAGCGAGGCTCTGGAACACATTGCCAAGGGGGGTGTTCCCCGAGGCATATAATCTTCAGAAATTCAAGAAGAACACCAATTCCTACCTTATTCCTCTTGGTTCTCACGATGTTCTCTGAACATTACAGGATATCCCTTTTCGTGGGGACCAGAACATAAAAAAAGTATTATTGTATTGACTCTCCTTTCAGTCCAAATGGTAGGAATATTTTGAATGCATCTCAGCATCTCATCAACAGGCATGTTCTAATTACTTCTGTGAGTTCATGACGGCATTTTTCGGAAACTGCTCATCAAGAAATGATAAACTAGAGTACTGTTGGAAAGAGAATTGGATGCCCTCTGAAATAATGTGTATCTTGACCCCCTTTTGATATAAGGTTCTAAGGGTAACATCTACCCCTCCTAGGGGGTTGAACCAAGAGGTCTAAAAATATGCATTCAAAGTGTCCCCCTTGAGAGCGAAATTGACATATCTTTTCGATTTGTCATATTATTTACTGGAAGAATGATATTAGGGGTTGGAAGTTTTCTAATCGACACAAAATTTTTCGGAAACTGCTTTACAGAAAATGATAAACTAGGGTACCGTTGGAAAGATAATTGAGCGCCCTTCAAAAGTGCCACTTGACCCCCCTTCTCATTTGAGATTCTAATGGTAACATCTACCCCTCCTAGGGGCTTGAAACAAGAGGGCTAAAATTATTCATTTTAGGTGTCTCCCTTGGAAATAAAATTTACCTGTCTTCTCGATTATTCATTTTATTTACTGGAAGGAAGATATTGAGGGTGGGAGTTTTCAAAATGTCACCCTGTATAATATACACTATAAAGTTTTTGTGTTGACATTCTCATTAATTCAATTATATTTTTTTTCCAGGTTCGTAATGTCGAGACAAGGAACTGCCTAGATACAATGGGTAGAAAATCTGGGGAGAACCTCGGTATGACTTATTGCCATAATCTAGGTGGCAATCAAGTATTTGCCTACACGAAAAGAAAACAAATAATGTCCGACGATAATTGCCTTGATGCAAGTAGTAGAACAGGTCCTGTCAAACTGGTAAGGTGCCACGGGATGGGAGGTAACCAGGCTTGGTTATACGACGAAGTGGTGAGTATTATTGAAATAGGAGACCGTTAACCAAACAAATTCTCGTGACACGAAAATATTCATAAGGGCAAATAAGGGAATTAGACACCCCCTTCTTAGTAAAATATCCCAATGGTATTAAAGACACAAGAGAATCGTTTTACTCGTGCTAATTATTGTAATAGGGATGTCTACAGATGTCTACAGAGAGTTAAAAGCTTTGTAGAGAGTGAGCACCCAATGTTCACCACTGACATTCTCGAATTGTCATAATTTCTGATTATAAAACGTCAGTTCTAAATATTGAATAGGAATACCCGTGAAAATGGATTTGGAATGAAATTATGGTTTTACCATCTATTTGAATTTTATAAGTGTAATGTTTTTCACCAAATAGAACAAGATTATATGATAGAACTAATTGAAATTCTTGACAACTACGTTTTCTGCGTACACTTTTTTTTATCTCTTGGAGCGCACGAAAGAAAATTCCTATGATGTTCAATGAAGATGATTTTTCAATTCGTCAAAGAATGAAACAACAGTAGGTATAGTTGAAGTATTTGGAATTACAAAACTAGGTTCTTTTATTTAATTGTTCTTAGTGTCAGTGGTTATGTTAAGGGGTTGTCTATTTGAAATAGTCGAATACTTTCATGAAAGTATAAACCGAAAATTAAACAAAAATTACTTTCATTATTGATCGAAAAAAGTTTTGGAAATTTTCAAATGCAAATGGATAGATAGCCATACCACATTTTTTTACTAAAATGTCTATAGCAAAAAGACAATATTCTTAATCTACGCTAACGACAGATAATAATAGCTATACCGTTAGGTCATAGAGGAATATAGATGTTGCATATACTGGTCACATTGTTTTGTAAAGGTAGGAGGCGCTGACTATGGCGTTTCCGGGGGGGGGGAGATCATCTTTAGCACAAGTGTCCAGTGTCTTGCATTCATAGATGGGTTCGGATTTAAATAAAATAGGGATGCATTTCTCATTCTATACAGAAATTTCTGCGGCGTTTCGTTCATTTTGGCAGATTTGCCGTATGCGATGAACTTTTCGGTGCACGTTATGCACCGGCGATGCATTTCCGCCAATATAAATAGCGGGACTTTTTCCTTACGGTCTTGCTGAACAGAATGCCAAAAAGAGAAAACTGCTTTACTCCGGGGTAAATCGTTCTAGATTGCCTGGTCTAAAATTCCACCTTCCTCTACACGGATTTGAGCTCATCATTACTGTGTAGGGTGGATACGTTGTGCAGTGGCGTAAGTTACATAAAACATGTCCAATAATTTTGTTAAGAGGTAACATAATGACATCTATCAAACTATGAATTATCATAAAACTCCATCGCCGAACTAACAAATAATATTGTTAACGAAAATTGGATTTTAGGACTACGAAGGTCAATAACCAATTAATTCATTCGGCTCTCTCCCCTAAACTTCCACTTGATTCAATAAATAATATAAAATCAATGCAGATCAATAATGTCTGATACACGCATAATCCACACCCTCAAGACAAAAATACGCTAGGGTGGTTGGCTCCCGATCCAATCAAAATGTTCGGTTATCATACTATCATGAGTTTCTGTGAATAATTAGTTGAATTAAGAAGATGCCGAAAATTAACTCTGAAATTGAAAGGAAAGCTAAAATTATTTGCGGATGATATATTTATCGATAGAATCTGAATTATAACAAATCTTCAAATATGTTAATATTTCTAATAATGCTATAACTTTCAACAATAGATTCATTGAATATACATACGCGACAAAATTTTTTGGTCTCTATATTGATGAAAAATTATTTGGACTGAATAAAACAAATCTTATCATAGGCATTTTATTCAAAATCCTATATATCATTTCCATAAAATAATTGAAATGTATTTACTTTTGCCTCATTTATTAAAATTTGCAATAATTTAATATCTATTTGGGGGAGTACAAATATTTCCCGCCTAAAACCACTAATGAACTCACAAAACAAATCAATTAAATGCATTTTTCATCTATTTTTTCTCGAACCAACGGTAAATTTATACAAACCTAGACATTTTCTTAACCTGATTTCGTTATATAAACTTAAAATATGTTGTTTTATTCATTTTGCCTGGAATAAATTGAAAATATCAAATTTTGCTTTTAATGAAGTCAATACAGTCCATAGTTATGGGACTAGACAATTGAATTACTTGATAGCAAATACATTCGAGCCGAATATTGGCAAACAATCTGTATTTCACAATGGAATAATTTTATTCAATTCATTACCAAATGAATTAAAAAATATACATGATACAAGAAGGTTTGAAATCAATTTTCAAAAATACTTGCTCAGGACAATTTGAATGAAAAATATGTGGCATGATTTGATTACTCAGAAATGAAATCTTATAACTTTCATACAATATCAATTTGTTTTCACTGAGTGGAATTCATTAATTAACCCTTCATCATATTCTTTATGTATTCATGTATCCCTATTATAAATAGAAATGTTTCTTGGGGTAATAAAGACAATCAATCAATAATATTCTATCAAAAATTGTTCACAGCAATATACAGCCGCACTACTCATCGTATCCACAGTACAAGTTCGGCAATGCAGTGCGCCCAAATTTTTTTTTCAGTCACAGTAACTTGCGACACACGCCGAACGCTAAGTGATGATTTGAGACTCTGGGTTTTTCAATACAACTTTAGCCACACGGCCCACCCTTTGATCCACGATTTTTATTCGGCGAGCTCATATCCGTATAGTGGGAGGTGGAATTTGGAGGGTTCTTATACTGCTGAGTGTGAACAAATGAGCAAGGGAGGGATGACTGAATAGTTATTTATTATATAAGGGAAAAAAGTTGTAGATTTTAGCTCCAGGTTGTGTGGAGACAAAAAAGCCGTGAGCTAAAATCTAATATTTTTCCCAGGTATAAGACACTATTATTTTCCTGTGACAGGAAAAAGGACGAATCAATATTGAGAAAATATTACATTATATTAAAATCAGAAAATTATCGACGTGGAATTTGAAGTTTTTAACAGTGATGACACCTGCGTGTGAGTTATCAAATTTCTGTCAGTCTAATTCTGTGATTTAATTTTCAAAAATTGCGAATTTGCAGTTCTTTCTCGGAGACGGTGTTATTGGCTTATTTTTCGGAACTATAGCACAACAAAAGCGTATATGTGAATATCCGGGTAAGAAGTACTCACTTTTTTCCCATGGGAAAAAAGTAATTTATGAAAAGTGACATTTTATAGCCTGTCAACAGAGATGACATTTCTTATTTCCCGTCACAGAAAAAACACATTTTTCAGTGAGCATTCTTGAAAATTTCATCAATTTTTAATACATTAAATATCGAAGCTGCAAATTCTCAACTGGACAAAAAAGTATATACATGAGGCAATTTCGAAATTCAATAAATTACCAGATGATATCAAAAACAGCCCAAATATAATACAAATTCAGAAATAAAGTGAAGAAATTCATTTTGATGCGAAGGAATGATCAAAGATTTTAGACAGACAGACAGACTTCATGAATTTCCTTTTTTTCTCTAAACTGTGTTTTTTTCCCTTCTTGTTCACAATATATGTACTTTTCTATACTATATGTACTGTTATTTTGAGATATCTTAATGATATGTAAGTTTTGTTCACTATTTGTAATTTCAATTCAATGAATGATCTTATGATCTTATACCAGGAATTACTGTCTGATCATTCATATCATTTCTACTAGAAAATTAATTATATTTTATGTATATATATTTTTATAAATGTATCAATGGAGAAAAAATGTAAATAATCATACTTGTCAGAAACTCAAGTCAAGTTCGGCTTATCGATAACACCGAACTTGACTCTTGACTCTCGACTCTCATTGGCCTGTCAAGTTCAGTGTTTTCAATGTATATGTGACAGTAAAACGTCAAATATAAGTAATAACGCTGTGCGCGCATTTAGCAGATTATATCCAACTCAGTGAACAGCACCACGAAAAACTTATTGCAGATGTGAGAAATAATATAGCTATCTAACAAATATTGCAAGCACAAGCGGGTTTTTGAATTATCAAGATCGAAGCATCGTACTAATCTAATAACTGTATACCATTTATGATTATGATTGAAGAACATTCAAGTAAGTTATTACTGGTTCAATCAAATATGTATCTATTTCGATCGATGTCAATGTTTCCAGTTCATTAAACTTCATTCTATCAAAATTCAGATTTTTTATATGTATTTCACTTGAGAAATAGTCTCATAAAATGCCACTTGTGATTGACTTCACCTCACCAGTCTGTCTTTCATTCCTGAGCTCAACTAAATTGCTTCGAATTGCTCGTGACGTTTTCTCGATCAATTCAGTTTCGTTCAGAAATAAACCGATATACTTATCGCGAAAATTCAATCACTTGTGGCATTACTGTTGATAATACAATTTTATATATGTCTCTTTTGAGTATAGCTGTAGCTGTCCATCAGCTGTCATCAGATGAACAATCACCAAAATTACTTGATAGTTTCCATTAGCAATACTCTTTCATGAGAGAATCATGTCTGATCCGTCACGAAAGCTGCTTCGCAAAAGCTCCGATTTTTATTCCGAGCGAAAATCTACTTTTCACCTCAACAGCTTCTCATATTCTACAAAGCACAGATATGGCCAGTTTTAGAATAGTGTTCTCACCTATGGGGTTCAGCACCCAAACATACGTTGATGCTCTTAGATTCATCCAGAGATGAGCCATTCGTCTGGTGGGTAATGCCACACCACACTCAAAAGTCTGCGACCTTTCACTTATACATAGATACTTCCACGGGAAATGTTCCGCAGCAATCTCTGCTATCATCCATCACTAGCAATACCAGTCAGGCGAACTCGACAGGCCCAATCAGCACATCCTTTCGTTGTCAACCTTGAAATATGTCGAACAACACTCTACCAAAACTCGTTCGGCTATAGATTGGCAAAGCTATGGAATTTTTTGCAAATGGAAATATTCCGAAGAACTTATTACCTCCAAAAGTTCCAAAAAATTCCAATACCTACCTTCTCTCCCTATCCACCCTATGTACGCACGATGTTCTTCGAACATCATAAGATCCGACCGATCTTTTCATAGTACATTATACACATAGGGAATTAAGTGGTATTTTAAATCCCTATAAAAAAAGTTTATAGCCCGACGAACGGGAGGGTTATGATTTGTCGAGGGATTTAAAAACACTTTAGTCCCGAGGTGTATATACTATTTTATGCACTTAAGGATAGGTAAAACGTTAAAGAAAAAATAAAGAAAAAAAAATGTAAATGCTACTAAACGGTAGTTACTCTATTTCTAAACCATCATCGAAGAGACTGATTGTTACCATATCAACGACCTCAGTAACTATGGTGATCCAGATCATGATTGTCATCTGCAGCTGAAAATCTTGGTGTATTATGTCAAGTAATTGAGTGAAACATAAATAAATAAATATTAGTCAAACACGCCACATCGATTGAAAGACGTTTATCGCGATGGAACAAATCGAAAAGGCAGCTCAAGAAACTGAAAGTCAATTATTACCAACAAAATCTGGAGAACAATAAAAAAAATAGCTATCTGAGTTTATCAAATGGTGCAAAGAACGGAACGTAAAAAAATGTACGGAAGAAAAGGTACTGCTAGCATATTTCTTGCAAAAGTCAAAAAAGCTTAAAGCATCGTTATTGTGGAGCGTATATTCGATGATGAAAGCCACAATTGCAACATACATTTTGAAAATACATTTCTAAATCCAGCTTTCATTGGAAAGAAATTCACTTTAAATTACTAAGGATTTACTGTTGAATATGAAGCAGTATAACTTCAGCATAAATAGTATCAACTTAATGTCATCGTACCTAGCTGACAAGCTACAATATGTCACACATAACAGTTATGTCTCTAGTATAGTCTGGATGAAACATGAGGTTTCCCAAGGCTCAATCTTGGGCCCTACTCTTTTCCTAATAAATATGAATGATCTATCCCATCATATTATCAATAGCAAAGTCATACTTTTTGCAGACGATACCACAACAATCAGTTCATCAAACAACCTGGATACTCTTAGAGCTAATGTGAAAACCCAGAGAAAGATAATTCAAAACTGGTTTAACTTTAAACGTCGACAAAACTCAATCGCTGCTTTTTACCTTACGTCACTATGAAACAACCCCAGCAGATCCGGTCAAATTCTTAGGTGTTTATATTGACTCTCTTTTGACATGGGAAACTCTCTTTTATTACCTATATGATTAGGAATTTAAAAAATATCAAATTTGTGGATATTCCCACGATAGCCTACCTTGCTTACTTCCATTCGAATATGACATATGCTTTTTTAAGCTCACCCATGCCAGCTATATAAGGTCTTCGGAGTTCAAAGATGCTGTGTGAGAGTTATCTCAGGACTGTTATAGAGACTGTTGTAAGTCAAATTACAAAGATTTGGGTGTTCTTACAGCTCTTTGCCTTGTCTATATCCTCGAATGTGTAATCTTATTTATTCATGTTTTAAACAGTTCACTCTCATGCATACTGATACACACCTTACTGCTGTACCCATTGAAATAGCTCTTTCAAAAAGTTATGTCGAAACAGAAGAAAATGTCCGTTGGAAGGTTCCATCCGAAATCCAGTTATTTTAAACCACTGCCCTCGTGTTTCAAATCACATTCCTTATTATTTATTCGATGAATTGTTATTGGCCCCTACTGCCTATTAGCTTCTACGCCTGAAAAATACTTTCGAATGAATTTGTTGATGAATCAAAACAAGTTTTCCACACAAAAGCACCAAAAAAATTATAAAATTCAAGAAAAACAAAATGTAAACACAAGTTGTGAACAATCACGATTTGTCACCAAGTTGGAAAGTCACAAACGCAAATTTCAAATCGTCCAATAGGAATACTTGTACTGTGTTTCCTTCTTCAGTTACAAAACAAATCTCCCTGATGCAGCGTCTATTCCTGTATGATCTAAGACTATACCACTTTTTTTTCCGAAAATTGTCTTCATAATAAATAGCAGGAAGATAATATCTTATCTTAACTTTTTTCGATCACTTTATTTCAAGTGTATTAAATTCGTAGGATAAAACTATCAAGCATGTCAACACCGGCAGCTGTCTGACGAAACCTGAAACTAGTGACATTAATTTACCTATGCTGAAAACATGCACCTACAGTGAAGGACAGCAATGGATAATGGAAAGTGATTTCAAGTGGCAAGCAAGGAATCATCAAGAACAAAAATAGGCATCTAAGATGCATACTGTGAGGTTATGTGATATTTCGATAAATTATGTTTATGGTGTTGTCGTGCAGCAGAATTTCTGCACTCGAATTCGCAATAAGGGACTGGAAGACCTGTTCTGAACTTTTAGTCAAAACATCGAAGATCAAAATATTTTTATGCGGAGAATTATTTATTGTTGATAATTTTTGCTTCTATCGAGCTTGCTGTTTAAATCATCATCATCCTCGTGGAACAATATGTGTGAATATAGAATATCATGTTTCAAATCGGAAGATGATGGTTGATAACTTTATGTTTGGTTGTTAGAATTATTTTGAAGTCCAACAGAATGAATATAAAACATGTTTCTCTTCATCAAATGTTCACTTAACTGATTCTTACCGAATTTATCTATATTATAGACTATTTAATCTATTTATATTATTCTTAATTATTTTTATTAATTGTTTGCATTTACTTATATACATATATTCCTTCCTGCATTCCGTATGGTTGTTTCGTTAGCTAATTAGATTAGCAAATACTTCCTGTTGAAACAAGACTTTGGAAAATATTTTCAATTGACTGCCATTTGTACATATAGATTAATTGGTGACCAACAACTGTTGAAAATTACACATTTTCATATACTTAGATGCCTTAGTTGTTGTATATTGTATGCGAAAATTGTATGAATGAACGATTTTTAGTGCTCCATTCCATCTAAACGTCACAGATCCTGAAAAGAGAATAATCATATCAGAGTTATGAATAACATTGACAATATATTGCAAGTTTTTTATATGTCACTACCAAGTTATTTTTATTTTTCCTAGAACTTTAATATTTTGATGATATTTTGGAATGTCTTTGGAATGACCAGTTCAAAGTTCCAAAGAAAAATTGTATCCAGAGGGACTCTTCGTATGTCCCAATTATATTCCTTTATCTTCATTATTCAGATTGTTGTGGGAACAACAAATAAATCAATCATTAGTTATTGGAAATATTCCATAATAATATCAATTATTACTCGGTGGAATAGCGCAGTGGATTAGGCGCTAGGTCAGGGGTGCGTTCGATTATTGAGTCTCAGAGTAGACTGTAGAGTAAGTTTATCTGAAGGTTTTATCAGTTTACTCTTTATTTACTATTCCATATTCGAATTTTGAGTTGGTTTGTTGTCATCTGAGATTGACATGAATATGTGGATTATGTACAGTTGTATTAAAACCCGAGAACGCTCGCGCCTGAAAAGTTACGGTGATGCTAGCGGCTGGTCGTTCTGACCGACTAGGAAATCCTTAATTTTGTCAGTATTTGTGTTGTTTATTTTGGTATCCAGCTACTGATATAATTTTTATAGAAACTTTATTGACTATAAACAGAAAGTAGAAATGTTTTTGAACAAAAATGTCTTTTTCATAATTTTGTTCTATCCGTCATTCGGTTGCCCCCTTACGAGCTACCCTCAGAAGTCTTCAAGAGTCTTATGCGAGCAAGGAATGACGGGGGCCTTACCTTTTAACGTGTGATCCCAAACACTTTCTTGGGCCATCAGAAAAATGTCTACAGTCGCTGGGAATTGAACCCACGACCAGCAAGCGAATGCGGATTAGAATATTGACACTCTGTCCTACCTGGCTGATTCATTATACAAAATAAATACGTATAATAAGTATCTAAAATAAGTTATGAGTTATCATCAATTTAATTTTGTCACATTTATTTTATTGTTACCCCCAATTTTATGTAAACAATCAATAATTTGGTGCAAACTTGAAATTTTTCGCGCGCCGGTGGGAACGAGAAATTGTCAATTCTCAGCTTCTAGCAACAATCTTTGACAAAAACCAAAAGTATAGAGTGGTTTGCCAGTTCGACTTAGGAAGACTCTAAAGCGCGTCGTAAAATGACGAGCCAAATAAATGTGGGAGAGAAAAAATATATGCTTGGCGGCAAATCGACCGGGATGCGAGCGTTCTCGGGTTGAAAAAAGTGTACAAGTATATTGCGTAAAACGGGCTATAGGAAATGATTGTTTACGAAATGTTGACAGTCAAGTTGTCATAGGTTCTCAAAACACAAAGCATTGGCTGAGCCAGTTTTACACAACTAGAACTAGAATGCCGTAAACCTCTCTTTTTAATACTTGTAGACTTTTTTATTGAATACGACTGTATGTCAAGTTGCAAGTTTAGTTCAGTCAGTTCAATTTTTGAAATTATTCATAAAGGAGTAGATCTTATGTTCTAGTTGCAAATAAATAATAATACATAATAAATGTTGAATTCATGTTTTGGTTATACCACTGTTATACTACTAAAGCATAAATACTTATTGTATGTATGTACCTCAATAAATATTGGGTGTATCAAAATGAAATTTAATATGGTTATATGGTATGTAAAGAGGAATTTCCACATATTTTTCACTCTTCAGTCACTTCCGGTTTCACCGGAAATGACTGGTTTTGATTTTATAAATGGATCACCCTATATATTTCAACATTTTTGAGACAATTCTGGATCAAAATAATGTTTTGGAGTCACTTTCAATATTGCATCTAGCTGGCCATGGTCGGACGGAAACTTATCTAAGTACCTCAGGATGTGATGTCACAAAATTGTGATCGCAAAGTTTTAGTCGTAAGTATGATAGATTGGAAGAAGATAAGTTGACAAAATAACATTTTCTTGTTTACTTACTAGATTTCAAATAGCAACCATTTTTTGACAAACACTTTCCGAAAAAAGGATTTTTTCTGCAACCGACACAAAAGTCGTCCATTTTGATACCAAAATTAGCTCTTAAATTGACGTTTCTATTACTGACACAAAAATAGGTATGTTGCTAGGCAACATATTTAGTTCCTAGGAACTAAAAAGGATGTACTGGACGTCATCAAGAATAAACAACATTGTGACGGTTGGTTATTTGGGTTGAGACGCGTACCTGATTTGTTTCCGATTTCAGCAGATTTGGCATTTCATACCCATGCTGGAGATATAAATACACCTTATTATAGTTTAGTAATGAGATTATAAACATCTCAGTTAAGTATTTTTGTTTCGATCAGGGAAGCCTTCAAGATTCAAATACTTGCTTGTTCTGTATTTCATTCGTCCACTTTTGTCAATTATTGTGACATGGATAGCAATGATGCATAATATTGTGCAGATATTTTTTTCGACTATTCTTTGGAAAACAAAACTCTCAGATGTCCACTTTTCACTTTGATCATTCATTATTTCAACTGAAATTTAATGAAAATAAATAAACTTTCATTATCTGGTCATAATGCTTATGTCACTGTCATTACCTGAGTGTTTTGTTTTCCAAAAAAGACTCGAAAAAAATAACTGCAAAATAACTGAAACATAATAGACACAAAATTTAATTTTTTCAGCTTGTTTTCTTCCTATCCATCATACTAGTCACTAAAACTTCGCGATTATAATTTTCTGACAACACCTGAGGTCAGATAAGTTCTCTTTACGTCCGATGATGGCCGCTTAGATGCAATATTAAAAGTGAATCTAAAAAAATTAAGTAGGCGTAAAAACTGCTGATGATGTCATAATCTGTTTCAGGATTGTCTCAGGAAATCAAAATGTTATAATATACAGGGTGTTTCATTTAAAAATTCAAAACCGTAGGCATTTCTGGTGAAACCAAAAGTGGCCGGGAAGTGAAAATTATACGAAAACCTCTCTCATCACATAGCATAATAATATACCCATATTGAATTTTATTTTGATGCACCGAATATTCTTGAAGTTGTGGCTTGTCTAATACATTTATTGATACCCGGTATATAATCTATCATTTCCAACGCAAATGAGTAAACCTTACTCCATAGAGTATGTATTCGAACGCACCCCTATAATAGGAACATCGAACGGTTGCTTGTTTTTTTTTTGAGGCTTCATAATAATTATTGGCTGACCTATTTTATTCAAATCATAATTTGATAAATTGAGTATTTATTATCCTTGAAATTTTTCAATATTTATCAATTTCCATTGAATTCTGCTTTTGAAAATAATTAACCACTGATTCAATTAATATTTTCAACTTGTTATCAACTATAGAACCTGTTGATTAACCCAACTATCATTGAATAATGACGACAATGGAAGTGTTCTAGGCGCCAGAGTGGTTGGGGGATCATCTGCATGATTTGATGGATGATTTGATGCATGGTAACTATATCAATGAAAAGTGAGCTTAGGACATACCGTTATTTTTCTTGTTTCGTCACTGCGACTGAGTAATAACATTGGTATAAGTAAATTCTCAATATGTATTCTGAAAATTAATAACTCGAATTATTAATTTCAAAATACCATAGAAAATATTTTATATCATCACATTGTGAAAACTTTTGACCATCACCCAATGGGGGCTAACATCATTTTCAGTCTCACCAGTTGGCGCTACTGAAACGTGAGGTCAATGTCAAAGTCAAAAATTTGACCGGATTGCCCTAGGATATCGCCTGTTTTATCGAGAATATTCGAAAAAAATATGTTGAATATTTGAACAATTAGAAAACCTCAAGTTATCGAAAGACTTGAGCAGACTTACGTTTTTCTACTACTGCTATAAAAAGTAGCGCATTTCTCATAGCTTACCTAGTTTCAAAACCATGTATGCTTATACTGTGAGAAATATTTTTTCTCACGGCACTTTGCCAACACCACATACATTTCCATGGAGAATCAACAAAAATAGTTGTCTCAACTGTCAGAAGAAGTTTTTTGAATTTCTTTGGGTAGTTCTCATTAGTGCTTTTGATTGAAATCGCAGTTTCCATCAAATATTATTCCAACAATTCATAATAAATAATATGATGTATATACCGAGATGTGACGATTTTGATAAATACACCACCAGAGACAGAGAAAAAGCTGCGGAAATTGGATTTGTTTCCGGAAATTTCAAGAAAAAGTATGCATTGGCATACACGAAAAATGTATGGAATCTAAAAAAAAACAGAAATAAAATCTCTTTCGGAAAGTGTACTTCTTTGAAATACTTTGAGGAACTAGGACAGGCGTCTACTCTGGTCACAATATTCAATGTGGCACATAGTGCCACATTATAAAATGAATACCAATTAGTTACATTACTTGGCTTCTTTGGATAAGTGCAGTTGTAGAAAAAGTATAGTGTGCAACATGTGGGGAAAAGTACTTTTCTCACTCGTGTGTTTGCATCACTCGCCCTTCAGGCTCGTGCCACAAACTTCCACACTCGTGAGAAAAATTTAACTTTGCACAATATACTATTCTCCACTTTCAATGTGGAACTTTACGACCAAATCTTTCATTGACGAAGAAGACACGAAAAGAAGAAGTATATTTATCAGCTCTACCAACTTTGACCTGACGTTTCAGTGGCGCGATGTGGTGAACAATAAATAATTAATGCCAGCCCTCAATGCAATAATTTTCTTATGAATACCTTCAAAACAATTTTTGAATGTAGGGAATCTTATTACATTGAAAACAAAATGAAATACAGTGTGATTCTGATTTGAAAATGAAATAGGAAACACATTGTTAGGATTTAATCATCTAAACCATTTCTGATACAAAACAGTATATTATCCAAAATAACTTTCTCTAAACGCACTCATCTCTTGTTAAAACATGGACCAGGAAAGTCTGTAGTTGTTGATATTGATTTATTTCATTGTCAAATATGATTCCAAACAATACCTTTGAAAGCTTATTGCGTTTGCTATTCCTCCAGC